TTTCTATGACAATCCTGTACTGCCAGCTGCCTAATCTTCCTTTGATCCTCTTCTGATACATACCAAAGCAGCTTCTGGCCCCTTGAGAGAGCACAAATCACAGGAAAACACTCAAAGGTGTGCTTTTCAATCTCATGAGTCTTTTAGGCTAAAATATTTTCTTCTGTGTAAAACAAGCAAAGCATAAAACAGAAACCAAGTGGAAAATAACAATTTTTGTTCAAATTAAAGATTGGGTAAGTGAAGTTACTTGACTACAGTTCCTATCAGTCCTAGCCAGCATTGACAATGAGGAGGAGTGCTGGGAGTTGCAGTGCAACAACAGATCTCTTATCCGTTCTTTTCTACTAGCTGATTCAAGGCAGAAGCTCTTAATTACAGCATGATAATCTATAGGACCCATCTATTTTTGCATATATACTGCCCTGCCCATTACAGAGAATCAAACTACTGTTGGAGTTTTTATAACTTCCCATACTACCTTGAGAAGGTGTGGCTGGGAGGAACCTTTCTCCACTAGGGTGACTGTCGATCTATCCAGCATCACATAATCTTTCGTTCCCTACCTCTGAATTAAAAAAGTGCCTCAATTTTCCGCTTAGTGCTTTGTCCCTCTCTAATGTCTTGTGAGGTCTGTTGTTGAAATCAGTCATTTTTGTCAGTAAACTGTAAGTAAATTAAACATTGTATTCTTTTTCCTACTAATGTCTTAGTGTGAGCTATTGAGACTGTAAGTACCAGTTAATGAGAAAAGGGATGGACTAATAATGGGAACTTGAAACTATTCTGCTCTGTGAAGCTCTGTACTTCTGCTGCACAGCTAGAGAACTTAAACCAGAAATTTAAAACTCTGCAACATCTACATCACCCACAGGGAACCTGCAAGTACAGGGACAAATTGCTCCTCACCATCACCTGAGACCTTTGGGGGAATTCACCATGAAATTCAGTACTGTGGGAGGAACCCATTTTAATGCACTTTAAAACAAGGTGCACAGGAAGCACATTTTTTAAGCATCTGCTCCCTGTGCACCTTGTTTTAAAGACATTTAAAATGTGCTTCCCCTCGTCCACTACTAAATGCATACTTTTAGGAAGCTCCTGGAAGGGTACATTTGCTAAAATCAAGTGCTCCCGATGAGTGGAAACACTGTAAGGTGGAACTTCATTAAATTGGCAGTGCTCTGGCATGGAGGGCAGCAGGAACTGCAAAAATAAGTGATATGCTACACATATTGCCCTCTCTTCTCTACATGGCAGAATGGGAGGGGCTCTATTTCTCAAAACTGTAAGACACTCATTCTCCTGCCAATTATGTATTTAGTGTGTGTATTTTATACTCATAGGACATCAAGACAAAATTAACAGTATGATTACAAAAACGTCTGTGAACCAGGAACAGAATTTAAATGTAAGGCTGTTTTCTAAGGCTAACGTACTATGTGCATTCTCTTGGGAGCAAGTCCCATTGAGATCAGGGCCTAAATAGCTCCATGCAGGACTGCCCTTCAACACTTTGTTCCTATCAGTAACATTATATGCTGAATAGATGGAACTTGAATTGTGTGACAATGGAAACAAAACCTGCAAACAATATCAGTGGCCTGGGTAATAACCACAGTGTTGATGGCAGTAGAACAGCAAGTACTGAGAATTAAGATGACAGGACTCTGTGAAGGTGGCAGGCAAGGGAATTATTGGGATAAATAAGAATTAGGTAATGAGATTCTTATTGTTGTGTTTATTAATGTGTGCATCAGAACTGAATTGTTTGTTTGCTTGATGATTTGACAAATGCATGAACACATATTTGTATTTGCAGGCAGACAGAAAAATCTAAGCATAATGCAAATGATTTTAGCACACCTTATTTGTCTTGAATACAGAATGCAGTGAATATGTTGTGTTCAGCCTGTGCTTCAGAAACAAGACAAGGAACCTTTGGCAATCCAGATGTATTGAATTTTAGCTCTCAGAGACCCATCAAAATGCCCATTTCAGCAGTTCTGCACCACTAGTGATGTGCTATGCAGGGGGAAATAAATGTTCAGCTTGAATATTAGAAAGAGGACAAGGAATCTCTGGCAGCCCAAATCTACTGGACTTCAGCCATAGATTGGGAACATGATTGACTATTTTCACAACTGCTGTACAACCTTTCAGCCTCGTGTACAACCTCTTGCCCCTCTGATCTTGCCTGGGGAACCTGGATCCATCTGCTATTTTGGATTTCCAGGAGCCCCAGCCAGCCTAGCCACCATCAAGAGTCTGCGGTAGTCTCAGTCCAATACATTTGGAAAGTCCTCAGTCCCACGTTAGAATCATGAATATTTTTTCATGAACCTGTGTCTTGATACGTCATGGTTCTGGCTCTCCATTCTCTCATTATACTCATGAAACACTAAAATAATAGGTGCAAGCAAGCCTATTTCTACAGATAATAAGAGAAATTGCAGGTAAAGCACATTCTGAAGCTAAGCATGCTGAAGCGAATTTAAAATCAGAAGATATCCAGTATCCAGTGGTGGCTGTTATCTCTTTTGTTACGAAGAGCAGAGGACAAACAAACAACATAAACAAAAAGAAAAAATTACAAATACTAATTTCAGAGCAGTGTACATTCTTAGATCCCATACCTCTGTAACATACTCCAAGCTTATACAAGCAGATCAATCAAGAAAGAGTTGTAAATGCATTCTAAACTGAATGAAATAACAATACTGATCTCACTCAAGGTTAGGAATGATTGCTGTAAGGATTACTAGACTAATATAGTGCAAGTATTTTGCATGCTCAAATGCACAACTCAGTGTTATTATTAATGGTAACTATACTATGTGATAAGAGAATTAAGTGAATAGCCTCTCCAGAGTTTTTCCTCTGGGAAAGGTAAATTATTATTATTATTAAAAAATATAACGTCCAGTACTTCTGGACATGTGTAAAAGGCATACCATCTTGGACATGAAGGGTTACGTAGTGGGTGCTGAGTCAGCAATATAGGCCCATATATATCTGTTGTTGTTGTTGTTTAGTCGTTAAGTCATGTCCAACTCTTTGTGACCCCATGGACCAGAGCACACCAGGCCCTCCTATCTTCGACTGCCTCCCCGAGTTTGGTCAAATTCACGTTGGCAGCTTCAATGACCCTGTCAAACCATCTCATCCTCTGTCATCCCCTTCGCCTCTTGCCTTTACTCTTTCCCATCATCAGGGTCTTTTCCAGGGAAATTTATCTTCTCATGAGATGGCCAAAGTATTGGAGCCTCAACTTCAGGATCTGTCCTTCCAGTGAGCACTCAGGGTTGATTTCCTTCAGAATGGATAGGTTTGTTCTCCTTGCAGTCCAGGGGACTCTCAAGAGCCTCCTCCAGCACCACAGTTCAAAAGCATCAATTCTTCAGCAGTCAGCTTTCTTTATGGTCCAGCTCTCATTTCCATACATCACTACTGGAAAAACCAAAGCTTTGATTTATGCGGAGTTTTGTTGGCAAGGTGATGTGTCTGCTTTTAAGATGCTGTCGAGGTTTGTCATCACTTTCCTCCCAAAAAGCAGGAATTTTTAATTTCATAGCTACTGTCACTATCTGCAGTGATCAGGGAGCTGAGGAAAGTAAAATCTGTCACTGCCTCCATATCTTCCCCTTCTATTTCCCAGGAGGTGATGGGACCGGTGGCCATGATCTTGGTTTTTTTTGATGTTGAGCTTCAGACCGTTTTTTGCACTCTCCTCTTTCACCCTCATTACAAGGTTCCTTAATTCCTCCTCACTTTCTGCCATCAGAGTGGTATCATCTGCATATCAGAGGTTGTTGATATTTCTTCCGGCAATCTTAATTCTGGCTTGGGATTCCTCCAATCCAGACTTTCGCATGATGTATTCTGCATATAAGTTGAATAAGCAGGGAGACAATGTACAGCCTTGTTGTACTCCTTTCCCAATTTTGAACCAACCAGTTGTTCCATATCCAGTTCTAACTGTTGCTTCCTGTCCCACATAGATTTCTCAGTAGATAGATAAGGTGGTCAGGCACTCCCATTTCTTTAAGAACCTGCCATAGTTTGTTGTGGTCCAAGACTTTTGCGTACTCAATGAAGCAGTAGATGTTTTTCCGGAACTCTCTGGCCTTTTCCATAATCCAGCACATGTTTGCAATTTGGTCTCGATTTCCTCTGCCCCTTCAAAATCCAGCTTGTACTTCTGGGAGTTTTCGGTCCACATACTGCTGAAGTCTATTTTGGAAGATTTTGATAATAACCTTGCTAGCGTGGGAAATAAGTGCAATTGTACGGTAGTTGGAGCATACTTTGGCACTGCCCTTCTTTGGGATTGGGATATAGACTGATCTTTTCCAATCCTCTGACCACTGCTGAGTTTTCCAAACTTGCTGCCACATTGATTGTAGCACCTTAAATTCATTGTGCGGTAGTCGGAGCATTGGTATCCACTCAGAGGTAAATCTCATTAGGTCCATTGGGCACATGGATAGATAAGGACCTCTGAAAGAAATCCCGTCTAAACTGAACACACCATCACCACCACCACTCCCTACTCAGTTTTATTTGCGCTGGGAACCACTGGAAACGCGGGATGCCTCCTCACCTTCCCTTTGTTCGGAACCAATGTTTACCCTCTTAACAACTATAAAATAAGGTGTTGGGGCAAATACAAGTCACGCACGTCAGCTATTTTAAGAAAGGGCTGGAAACACAGAGAGGCTCCCAGCCGTCTTTGTAATTAAAAGAAGGAAGGGACGCCCTTCAAAATATAAAAAGTATCCAGATGAGAAATGCCTTTGACATTGTCGAAATAGGCGTTCCTAGTTATTCAAAAAGGAGCCTGTCGGAGCTTCCCGTTATCCACAAACCTTGCACCGAGGAAGCGGGGAAAAAAAACCCACAATAACACCCCACTCCTGTCTTACAGTTCTTTCTTTCTTTCTTAGCTGATTCAGGCGGAAACATTCTTTGTGAGCCGGAACTAATGTTTGCCAGTTGACAAGGACCACCCGGACTCATCGGGGAATAGGATTGGTGTTACTCCGCCTGTGGAGACGGCTTCCTTCGCGGAGTTCCCGTTCCTTCCTTGCCTCCCTGGGTCCTTCTCCTCGTCCTCCTCCTTCCTTAGCAGCCATGCAGCCCTTTATGGTAAACATCAAGCTGTCAGCTCGGACTCTCACCGGGGCGCTCAACCCACAGAACCGGGGGGCGGCGGACTGGTGAGTAGAGGAGGACAGCCCCGTCCCGCTTGGGGTGGCGGGGATCTGTTTTTATAGCCTCATGGAGGTGGGGCACGAAGGTCTCCGTTTAAACTTCACAGAGGCTCCCGTGCGGATCACCTGCAATGCTTTACATTTGCTTGAGCTGAGTCTGATCAAGTGCAGTGGGCTTGACTTCTACTCTTAATCAGTGGGTAAAAAGTAGGGAATAGGGGTCAACCACCTATGAGTAGGACAGCCTTTCACCCCGAAATATGAGAGAGAGATTTCGTGGGAAGCAAATCCAAGGCTGAAGTGGGCCTCCGGGGTGCACGTTAACAGAAGTGAAATGTACAGAAGAGGAATAGAAAGGAGCTGAAGGGATTCGGCAAGGTAGAGTCATTTTTATGCAAGTTGCTTGGAACTTAAGAGGATCCATCAGGGTTTTTGAGGTAAGTGAGAGATGTTCAAGGACGGGTTTATCATTGCCATCCCAGTGAGTTTCTATGACCAAGAGGGAATTAGACCAGCCAGCCTGTGTCCAGGCCTGGCAGTCTATCCTCTACATGCCACACACTCTTGACAGCTAAGAGTACCATGTTAACTATCTTAAATGTCTGTGTTGGGCTGTTATGCGTTTTATATATTTAACACACACTACATATCATGTCAAGTGTCATTATATGTTTTGCCAGTTTAGAGGTAGACAGGATGGCACTATGATCAGTCCTGTTTGAGTTCTTCAGGTGTACAAATGAACTATTCTAAACAGGAACATTGGATGGTGAGGTGGACTAGCGGTAAATGCTAAAATGTAAAGATTGGAGTGCCAGGTGAGAGTCAGAAGGCCTGAGGATAGGATAAGGTGGTAGTGCAGCAGATCCCATTTTTGCTGTTTTATAAATAATTTGAGCATTCTAATGCAGGAACCAACAACATGCATTTGTGTGATTTTAATACCTTTTTGGACACCTAAGAGTCCAGTAACAAGGAAACTGAGATGAGCCAAATGTCCCTAACATAACCCTCATTTTTACTGTTTTCACAGTAGTTATGACAGATTCTCGTGAAAAATGGAAGTAATGCAAAGCTATCTTAAAGGCTTGCTGTTAGGATTTGTTAACTATGGGACGTGGTGGCGCTGTGGGCTAAACCGCAGAAGTCTGTGCTGCAGGCTCAGAAGACCAGCAGTCGTAAGATTGAATCCACACGACAGAGTAATCTCCCGTTGCTTCATCCCAACTCCTTGCCAACCTAGCAGTTCAAAAGCATGTAAATGCAAGTAGATAAATAGGTACCATCTGGGTGGGAAGGTAAAACAGCGCTCCCTAGTCACGCTGGCCACGTGACCACGAAAACTGTCTTTGGACAAGCGCTGGCTCTACGGCTTGAAAAACGGGATGAGCACTGCCCCCTATAGTCGGACACGACTGGACTAAAAATGTCAAGGGGAACCTTTACCTTTATAAGTGTTTCAGGCACTGTATTTATTTTTTTGCATATTTTAGAGTCACAAGCTTGCCGTTGATCCAGATGTCCTTGAAATAGCTTGGAATTTGCACAACCAAACTTTTATATTCAATATAAACCTGCAGTTTATTCCATAGAGGCAAGAAGGTTTCAGGATGGAGTCACATAGTAGCTGGATTGTGGCATTATGGAATTACAAGGTTTAAGGTTGTCCATAAGACATCTAGTGGAAAGGAGTACAGTGGTGCCCCGCACAGCGAGGTTAATCCGTTCCGGATTAACCTTCGCTGTGGGAAACATCACACT